GAGGGGAAAAATGTCTTTAGAGAAAGCGACTCAATAAAAAGTTTTTATCAGGGGAACTGTTGTCTTTCTGATGACAAAACCAGTTTGACTGACTAAAAAAATTACCTCTGGGGGTGTGAGGAGATTTTCCTAGGGAATTTAAATGCCACAAGGTATTCTCAGCTTAAAAATAGCAGTGTGTAGGTTGAAATGAGTAGCTGAGAGGTATGTGCTGTAGGTTGGGATTTAGGAATACAGATGTTCCCAGATTTTTAAAAATGTACTTTTTCTGATATAAAAATTACCAGGCTGCAGCTCAGGACCGTATAGTTTGTAATTATAATCATTATGTTATTCAAAGCAGCTTTAAGAATCTCCTGGTAACTGTTGGAAATTTTAAGCAGATATTCTTTTAGCTGCACTGAACCCTTGTGCTTCCTCCTGTGTCTGCCCAGATTTGGTTGATATCACGAGAAATGAATATTGAAATGGTGTATAAAAATCCCAGATCCAACAGGACATGAGCCTGGCAAGCTGTCAGGTGATGCTGTCTGGCTTTTTGTGGACTTTTCCTATTATTTCTCTTTCTTGCTTTCTAGCTTTCACTAAGCTGAAATGATTAATAACAGCCACCAGATTTATTACCTCGTGATGCCTCTTGCTCACTGTTCCTGAAGTGCTTTAACCTGTCCTTGTGTCTCCTCCTCTCCTTCTTCCCCTTCCCCTTTCACCACAAGCACATTCAAATTTTTTCTAACTTTCCCTTTAATACCCTATGCCTTTCTTCTTTCTTTTTCCCTTCTAAACCATTCCATATAATTAAATTCTCTTCATGCAGGGTAGGTTTCTCAGGGCAGTTTTGGATTTTCTGGGGCTTCTGGGCAGGTTTGGAGCCCCCCAGTCCCTGCTGAGATGGAAATCCAGCCACTTCAGCTGGGCTCACTGCATGGGATGGGTGGCAGAACTTTCCTGTTCTTTCCTTCCTGAACCCTCCTTTCCTTTGGATTTTTTCCTTCTTTTCATCTCCCCTCTGTAAAAAACTTTTTCAGCAGCTTTGCTGATCAATTTCTGGCCCAGTTTTAATCTTTTAAAGTTCTGTTCTCCTCCCACAAGGTTCTGGTAAAGCCCTTTCAGATATTTTATGGGCACAAAAGTCACCTTGGTCCCCTTTTGTGTTTCTGAGCATTCTTTGAGGCTGTGCTGCCAGGTTCTCCCTCTCCTGGGCAGTTCCAGCTCACCTGGGTGTTCCTTTTGGGATAAATTGATCCATTTTAGGGCTCCATCTGCTTTTTCTGTGCCAAAGGAGTCCCAGCTTTTGTCCTGCAGATTTTCAGCATCTCAGATTCAAGCCCTGCCCGTTTTCTGTGCTGTGAGACTTTGGCCATGACACGTCCAGAGCTGTGGTAGAAATGAGCCCCATGTTTTAAATTTCTTCACCTCCCTGGATTTGGATTTTCTGACAGACAGGGCCTCTGTTAAATGTAATTTAAGATGAGAACATCACAATTCGCTGTCTTGGAATAAAACCCTGCCACAAATCACATCTGCATATTAACAGCTCTTTTGTGATGCTTTTCACTCTGTGCATTTCAATAATCTCAGGCATATTTTTGGGTAGCATTGAGAGCCACGTGCTCTCAGCAATCTTATATCTCAACATGGATTTTTAAAGCTTATATGAACACTTAAAATAAATATTAGATGCTTTAAACTCAATTTTGCTACTTAGGTGTATTAATGTGATGTGTTCTATGTATTTTATTAATCTTTCTTATTTTTTCCTTATCTGTAAGGTCAACACTGGGTCCCTCTGCACTGCAATAAGCACAGATTATCTAAATATAGAATTAAGAAGTTTGTGTCTTTTCCCCCTATAAATACATAAAGTTTCTTCCTGTAAATACATATAAGTCATTCTACAATTTCTAGAAAACCATAATAGCAGAGAAAAAAATTAAAAACACAATTGTTTTTCCTTAAGTACGTAAGAAAACATTAGGCAGACTGAAACCAATGGAGATTCAGGTTTCCTTTCTTTTTTTCTTATTAAAAGGAACACCTCTGAAACAGTTTCAAGATAATTCAAAAAAATTCACATAATTCAAGCAAATGTTTCCAGACAGATGGGTCGTCTTGTAAAAGGCAGAGGTTGCATTTTAAAATCCTGCTTTTCATATATTTAAAAAATCTGCTTGGAAATCTTGCTTTTGTAAGAAGCAGGTAGTTTTTTGCTAGAGTTTATTCCTATAAAAAGAGCATTTTGCATTAATTTATGTAGCACTTTTATCCCATCTCCTTTTTGTGGAGTGTAAAACACAAAGGAAAATGTTGGGAATTTCTGATGTTCTGATTGACTTCTCAGTGGGTCCCATAACCTGGACCTGGGCATCTCCTGGGGTTTTAGAGAGCCCACAAAGAATCTCAACCATTAACCACTCAAAAATCCAAAAATCAACTCAGAATTTCCTCCATCCCTCTAAAAGACTTCAGGTTTTGATGAGGTCTAGCAATTAATTTCTCTACTCCTAAAATTCCTTTTTCCCTTCAAACGCCTCTGTTCCAGCTGAATTTGTCATTGTCAGATGAAAGGAACAGGAAAAAAAAAATTAAATGCATTTAAAATGTTGTTGTTTTGTTGTATTAAATGCATTTAAAATTGGGTTGTGGGGGATTGTCTCATGATTTTAAGTCATAAACATGATTTTTTATTCAGTGTGGAAGCTTGTCAGATTTAGGGACACTTTCCAAGAGCTCGATCTAAGTTCAATCTGTTTCCTTCAAATTTTCTTTCTTTTTTACAAACAATTTTTCAGCTGGAATAAAACAAAATTTTCAGCTGAAGAAGTGAATTATTTTATTTGATTGTGCTTAATCTGCAGGTAATTCCTTTTATGTTAATGATATTTTGTATTATTTGCATGCTCCATGGTACCATTTGTGTGAACATGGAGATCAGTTCTGACAACACAAACACAAAATTAACCAATTAACCTCACTGCTCAAGTCAAGGAATAGATTTATTTCTTTTCCTGATTTTGCTTAATCAAGGTTTTTTTTTGTTGTTTTTGTTTTTTGTTTTTTTTTTTTTTTTAACTGAAGGGTCTTGGAAATATTACTCTGCAGCAGCAATTTATGATTTTGTACAAGCTGGACTAAATTTCAGCCATCTGAAAAGGAAATAAAATGAGTGTTTGACTGTGGCTAAACCAGGCCATGTTTCTTTTGTAGAAATAGAAATTTTGTAGAAATAGAAGAAGAGGTTTGCTGTTAAAAAAATCAGAATATTCATCATATTTAATTCTTAGTCATATCTAATGAAAAAAGGAGAGTGAATTCTGGTGTTATATCTGCTGAAACAGAATTACTTGCACTAGGAAACCATTTAAAACAATCAAGACAAAAGTGAATGTGCTGATTTGGAAAAGGAATCTAAAAAATCTAACACAGCCTAATTAAGAAGATTAAGGTTAAACAGAGCAAAATTCATTAGTCCTTCCCAAAATCCCATTCAGCTGCAGGAGGAAGTTGCAGGGTTGTTTTCTGAGCTGCATTTGTGGCTGGTGCTGAGCAGCTGAAGGTTCTGAACTTAGAAAGTTTCTGAATTTCTTCCTTGAGTGCTTTTAGTGAGGTTCTTGTGCTGAAGGTTCAGGTTCAGGGCCAGCAGGGGAAGGACATCCCTGCCTTGGGAGCAGCCTTGGAAATCTCAGTGTAAACTACAGAGAACTTGGCTAAAAACTCCATTTCTTTTCATTTTCCATTTCCTTCCCCTCTTAGTGGCCGTTCAGGCTCATCTTTCTTCCTTTGACTTCTGGTAGTTTTGTTGTTCACAGGCAGTAATTACTCAGCTGGTTAATGGATTATGATGCTCCTGTTTGCAAATTAAAACTAGAAATCACATTGGTTGTTAATTCCCTCTAGTGACAGGTGATGATTAAAACAAAATCGAGCTTCAGTCAGGGGTGGAGGTGAAGTTGTGACCCCCGGGTACCTGGGGCAGGTGGAGAAGTGATGTCACATTCCTGCCTGCTCCCATTCCTCATGGGACATGGCAAAGATTCCTGTCAGGTCCCTCAGGAGAGGAGGCTCTGCTGGGTTCTGCTCTCTCCCATCACTTGGGATTTCTCTGCCTTGTGACTCTGGAATGTGTCCTTGGCTGTCCAGCATTTCTCCCAGGTGCTCTTTCAGTAACAAGGAGAAGTATGTCACTTTGCTTTGGTGAATTTTACCTAGGAAGTCTGTTTAAATTTTAATTGCATCCAACTTTGAAATAAGTCATTAGCAGATGTATATAAAGCAATTCAGAATTAACAGCTCAGAATAGAGTGATTCTCTTAATACTGTTTTGCTTGTGGCAGGAATAATTCTTGTACTTGCAGTTCTAGAAGCATCCCACTCTATTTCTCTGTAGGGAAGACTGATGAATTAATATCAGGGAATTGTTTTTACTCAGTGTTCCTTAATGCATTCATTATCAAGTTGAAATGCTGATAAACTCAGTTTAACCCAGTATTTTTTAAGCAAATGTTCCCTATAAGTGTGTTTAGTTGAGAACATTTAGAAATGGTGTTGAAAATGGTTTTAAAAATTGTGTTAAAATTGCTTCATTTAATCTGGCAGGGTGTTAATGTTAATTTAATGCCATTGCTTTGCATTGATTAATGTCATTCATTGGTTTTGGTCCTTCCTGTCACTTTCAGTATTATTTTTGTTCTTATCCTGCAGGTTTTGGTGGCTCAGGTGAAGCTCTGAGTCCTCTATCACATAACAGAATTGGAGCTCTCTCTTTCCATTTGTTCAGTCCGGGTTCACCAAGGATGGGTTCCTCAGCAGAAAAATTAAAAGGACCATGATTTCTGTCCATTTATTTCCTTTCTCTTTACTTGTCCTTTTCCTCCACTCTCATTAGCAGGCAGGGCTTGGCAAAGCAGCAGCTCCATTGCCTCACCTTGTCACATCACGGCAAATTTTATTTCTTGTGCTGCACCCGACCTTCCCTAAGCCGATCCTTCCCATCCCTGCAGGGTGTGGGACTGCGACAGGGGGAGCTGAGGATGAGGGGGAGGCCGAAGCTGGCTGGATTGAAGGTGCTGCCATCCTCCTGTCTGTCATCTGCGTCGTGCTGGTCACTGCCTTCAACGACTGGAGCAAGGAGAAGCAGTTCCGCGGGCTGCAGAGCCGCATCGAGCAGGAGCAGAAGTTCACCGTGGTGCGAGGGGGACAGGTCATCCAGATCCCCGTGGCCGAGATCGTGGTGGGGGACATTGCACAGGTCAAATATGGTGAGTGCAGCACCTCCAGAACCTGTGCTCTGCTGGCCCTTCCCTGCTGGATGGGCAGGCTTCGCTGGAAAGGCAGGGTTATGTCAGGTTTATGTGGTATCAGAGTCAGTGTTGGCCATGGCAAGGTGACACTGAGCTGTCAGGGCAAGAGGAAAACCTAATAACCTGCACTAGGAAATCAATTTAATTGGTGTGATCTTCTTCCACTCACCAGGACTGTTCATACAAAGGTAATTCTCTATCATGGAGGATTACATTATTCAGATTTTTGTTTCTGTCCAGTTACAAATAAGAGAAAGTATTTTTAAATGTTGTGCAGAAGGGAATTGGGCCTCTGTGATCACCTCACTGGTTGTTTCAGATGCAGACTGATCCAGACTGATGGTGCAGATCAGGTGCCTGAGCATTCCATGCCATAGGGAAAGCCCTGTGCTCCAGTGCAGTGAAAGGCTCCTGCAGGAGCTCTGTGTCCTCTGGAGGGAGTTGGTAATTCCAGCAAGATCCCTCTTCCATCAGCCATCACATTTCTCCTGGACTTACCTAAGGACTGCCTGAGGGGGGAAGGGGAAAGGGCAGCTCAGCTGTTAATTAGCTGCTGTTAATTCTTATGAAATCTGACGGAGAAACCCTCAGGTGATGTGGAGAGCACTTCCCTGTCAAACCCCCACGATGGGGATGTCCATGGTGTGTTAAATGTGATACATCTGGATTCTGGAATAGCATTCAGCAGCAAATGTTTGCAATAAAAGGCCTTTCCTTGCAGGAGTGCAATGCTGTGGCTCATGTGGACAGAATCCAGAGTAATTCCTTCCCTTCTGCTTCCATTCCACCTTTTAATGCAACTAATTGTGATTTTATAACAAAACTCATCATGCAATTACAAAAGCCATCTCATGGTGCTTTTCCACTGCCATGTTCTGCCCACAGGTGACCTTCTACCTGCTGATGGGATATTTATTCAAGGAAATGATCTCAAAATCGATGAGAGCTCTTTGACTGGAGAGTCCGACCAGGTCCGCAAGTCGGTGGACAAGGACCCGATGCTGCTGTCAGGTAAAATCTGCCCCATCCCCATCCCCCTGGGGGCTCCTGTCCTGCCCCATCCCCATCCCCTGGGGGCTCCTGTCCTGCCCCATCCCCATCCCCTGGGGGCTCCTGCCCTTCCCCATCCCCATCCCCTGGGGGCTCCTGCCCTGCCCCATCCCCTGGGGGCTCCTGCCCATCCCCATTCCCTGGGGGCTCCTGCCCTGCCCCATCCAGGTGTGCAGAGCTCAGCTGGAGCTGTGCTGGTGCCTGTTTGTGGAGGGAGCAGAAAACACAGAAGAAAGTTTCTTTGCATCCTCAGAACAAGCTCCTTGGAAAATTATAGCTTAGAGATAAGAAATGGCTTGTGAAATGACGAATACAAAAGGAATTTAGCTTCCCCCCGTTGGAAGACCCTCTTATCTATCTTCAATATTAGTGGTTCATTTTCTTTTAGTATCCATAGGCCAGCTTTGAATGTGAAATCCCTCAGGGATTGGTTAGAAAGTAGAATTCCCTTGGTAATTGGTGAAAATTGTAAAACCCTCAAAAGTTATAAAAACCCCTGTAAAACAATAACCGTGGGTATATGTAGATAGGATGGATGCCTTCATAGAATAAACCATGGATTTGTGCCTCACTGCATGTGCTGGTTTCTTTTCCCTGCTGGTCTGAGAGCTCCCCATGAGCCAAAATTCCATCTGGGCAAGGCTGGGGAACGTGCTCTGTCACTGAGGGCTGCAGGAGCAGCCTCAGGGATCCCAAAGGGACCCCAAAAACCCAGCCAGTGACACCTGTGTTCCTGGGAAGCTGCTCTGGGCGTGTAGGAGTGAATGCCACTTTTTTGGAGGATATTTTTATCCACCTTTGTCGTCCAATTCAGGAGAAGATTCCCCCAGAACAAAACACGGGGATACAAATAGCATGGTCTTAATGAAAGGGTATTTGGGAATAGTGACACATCTTAGAGGAGGCTCTGATAAATTTCTGAGGACGGTTTCAGACCTCTTCTTTTCTGACTGAACCAACCAAGTCTCTGCTGGCTTTTAAAGCTCTTTTCTGATCTTTAGGTTTGAATGGAATTTCTTTTTGGGGTGGTTTTTTTGGGGTGTCTTACCTAATTTGTGTATTTGTGATGTTTTGCTGAAACGATAAACTTGGCTAGTGACAATATTTCCTTTAAAAAGAGAATCTGATGGTGATGGATGTGCTGCCTGAGGTTTGTGCTTAAGCATCAGTTCTTGGTTGAGAATAACACACAACAGGGTTTATTTTGGTTATGTGCTAATATTTCCCTCAATATAGGTTTATAAAGCATAACAAATATCTCTCAGAGAGAGAGAAAAATAAAGAAGGCTGACAAAAAAGGCAGAAAAAAGGTCAGGAAAGCCTTGCATCATTTTTTACATTTATTTTAGCTCTGTGTAACCTTTTCAGGCACCCATGTCATGGAAGGCTCTGGGCGGATGCTGGTGACTGCTGTGGGGGTGAATTCTCAGACTGGCATCATCTTCACTCTGCTGGGAGCTGGGGGAGAAGAGGAGGAGAAGAAAGACAAGAAAGGTAAATCTCCCAGCACCAGGACTCTCCAAAGGAAGCTCTTGGGCTTTGTGCAGCCAGAGCTCTCCTCCACTCTTGAGAAATAAATGCGATTTTTCAATCTGCCTTTTTTTTTTTTTTTTTAATGACACATTTTTATCATCACATGTCACACAGAAAAACAGCAGAAGCTGTTAACCAATAAATCCATTGGATAACAAGATGTTTTTCCAGTGTGGAATTGCAGGCTCCCATTCAGTCCATACTGAAATGCCAGGGAATACCTGGGCATGCTCCAGGTGCTGTGGCTTCTCAACATGAATCCATGCTCACCTACAATTGCTAAGATTTTGTGCTTTTCTATCAATTTATTATTTTTTCCTCAGGAAAAAAACCCCTTGGCCATGGAAATAGCATCTGTCTTGGAGCTCCAGGACTAAAATAAAGATAAGCTGTGGCTCTTTGCTAGCCTGGTTGTTTAATGTCAGTGACTGACTTGAGAGGCATTTTAATTTCTTCAGGTGTAAAGGTTGAGCTAAGAATAGTACAAGCCAAGAATGTAGCAGTAAATGTTAGCAGACAGTTTTACTTTCATGTCCTGTATCAGTTAATGAAATCAAGAAGCCTCTTTAGACTTTTCACCTTATTACAGTGTGATGTCATAAGCATTTGCTAATTTATGGGCTGCAGACTAAGCAGAAATGTGATTTAATGTCTGTCCTTTCCAGTTTTTCTTCACACAGTCATGTAAATTGTTCTGCTTCCACAATTTCATTCCAAGTCTGTCCTAAGAATATTTGTCTTTCAGACATAATTAAGGGCCAATTAATGCAGTTTTTTTCAGACATTTCTGCTCTTCTAGAGATTTTCACTATTAATAAAAAAAGCAGTTAAAGCTTTAGTGTACATTTAATTTGCTATCTGATAAACAATATGATTCCACCATTTTTTGTTTCCATCATTTTCTATGAAGCTGCAGATAGGAAGGCCAAATTCAAATGGTTTTCAGGACTTACCATTTCCATTTCTGACTATGTTCAACAAGTGGCTGCCTTTGACTCCCTGCTGCTTTGAGGAAATCCCTGCTTACTAAATGAAATGTTTATCATTTCATTTCTGCACAGAAATGCACAGTAGCTGCCAGGCTTGGGGAGCTCCAGGAGAACTGAAAGGAGGGAGACTGGAACTTCACAAAGCAAAATTCTTTTATGCCAGAGTAGTTCAGAGCAGCACCTCGGAGTTTTGTTCTTGCTGTCCTTCAGAGCCTTTGTGAGGTCTGCAGGAGCAGCTTCAGCCCCGTGCTGGGCTGAACTGGGCTGGCCTCCCTAGGCTGAGCTCAGCACACTGCTGGAGCTCTCAGCTTTCACTGGGGAGAGCCTGGAAAGGCAGGAGAAGAGAAATCAGGGAGTTTTCCCCACACTGTGGCTGTAACTTATCCAGAGATCCTTACAGACGTGTGTTAGAATTAGGATGCAGACACGGAATTTCATTGAATATGGCTCTGTAGAAATAGCTATAATATAGAAAATCCAGAATAGAGAGAATTCCTCCACATTTTCTGATGCTGGTGGCAGATGGAGGAACCAACTCAAATTTAAACCTCTGGTACCTAAACCTGCAGTTCTCAGAAACCCTGCCCCTTTCAGTCTGTGTGGGTGTGTGCTTTTATTTTCATTAACACTTTAAAAATCATCATGCAGGTGTGAAACAGGAGGAGGAACAGAAGCTTCCAGGTAGAGTAAGAATTGTACCCCATCCAATGTGCAAATCAGGGGGGAACTGCTGATTGAAATAATCACCTTTGAATCAGTCAAGCTGAAATTAAAGAATGATTTCAAATCAACAGGATTGCTGGTGCCAAATCTTTTGGTGTGCAGGCATTGTTGGTGTTGCAAATCTTCCCCGTTCAGCTGGAATAATCAGTTATTTTCCAGAAGCAAATTGCAAAGTATTTAAGGTGGAATAGTTGATTTGCTGTTAGCAGCTCACGCTGTGCTGGTTGGGGTGGGGATCCAAACGGAATAAAGAACAAGCACGAGTCACCAAAACAGTTTAAGTCGTTGCCACCACAGTAATCAAATTTGCAATTGAAATTTTCCTGAACGCAGTTGCACAGGGTGTGTTTTTAAATCCTGGGAGCTGTTTATTTTCTTCTCCCAATTTGCCATTTGTAAATAAAATCAGCCCATTCTTCTGCAGTACCAACCCAGTGCAGCAGGAAAGAATCCCTGTAGGAGAGGATTCATGGCAGGACTTGGTTCTATTGTGAGCAATTAACCACCAGAAACAAAACAAAATAAATTTATCTATTATTTGCAGAGACTAATTTTATTGAACTTTACTATTAAAAACATAGTGAAATGATAAAACCTTCTTCAAGCTTTTCACCTTCCAGTTAGGAAAGATTTCTTGTCCAGTTTTCTCCAATATGTGGATAATTGCTGCAAAGAAAAAGAGGATTTTCTTTTCTGGTTCTTCTTTCATGTCACCACAAACCAGGGAATATGTAATGTCCATTATCTGGATTTAAAACAACCCATTATTCTCCTCAAGATTATATTTGCCTTTTCCACATAAAATACAGGAAAATTCCATGTTTCCACTCAGCTCAATGTGTATTTTTCCTGTGTGATGGCAGGACATGGATTGAGCCCTGTTAGACTGGGATGCATCAGTGATGATAAATCATAAAGTGCAAAATTATTTCAAACATAAAATGTTTAAATAATATGTTTTTACCATTTTACTATGTAGAAGTAGGTACAGATAGAGATACAATGCATTTTTAAATGCAAATTTTAAAGCTACCCATGCACTGTGTAAATTAACTCCAAAGGAAATATTTCAACCACCTAAAAAAATGCATAAATTCCATTAAAGTGTAAAAAGTAAGACGTAAAAGGACCAAAGCAATATACACAGGACTGTGTACAGTTCTCACCTACTCCTTTAACTTTGCTAAACGTGTTTCATATTTATTTATCTTTTATTATTATTATTGTTGTTGTTATTATTTGAGTTTTCAGCTTACTTTGTGACACCTTCCCAATGCCACGTTGCTTTGGAAATTTGTGTTAATTAATTTCGAGCTCTTTGATTTTGGGAGCAAACAAAGCCACGAAGGCTTTTCGCTCTGTCACGTGCGTTCGCTCGCGTTGCTGTTATTATTTATTCATTATTTGTTGTTTTCTTTCTGTGTTTTTTTTTTGTGTGTGTCTCGTGTTTTGTGGTGGTGGTGGTGTGGTGTTGTGTTTTTTTTTTAATCCATTATTGCTCAGTAGATTCTTCCCATCCCTCCTCCCACCCTCCTCCAGCCACAGATGGTGCAGCAGGTGCAAATGCCACTGATAATGCAAATGCCAGCTTAGTCAATGGTACGTCACAACCCCCGGCTTGTCTGATTTGATGGATTTCTCTCCTGACTGTGTCAAACTGCCTCTCCCCTGGCTGACCCGCACAGATGTTGTGTGTGTGTGACTGCACTCTGAGAGATCCTGCTCCACACGCTCTGCAGGAGCCTGCCAGAGGGGTCCAGGGATGCTGCAGCTTTATTCCCACTGAATTCAGCCTGCCAGAGGGGTCCAGGGATGCTGCAGCTTTATTCCCTCTGAATTCAGCCTGAGAGAGGGGCCCAGGGATGCTGCAGCTTTATTCCCTCT